CCTCCCGGTCCCCGGAGAGTCCCTGGCCTGTGCTTTTCCAGGTTCTGCTGGGGTTTTGCACGAGGAGAGAGCCCGGTTTGTAGTCTGATCTTTCCTAGGTGGTAGTGGCGCGGGTCTTCTCAGGCTGCGAGGACCCCAGACCTCAGGTGACTTAGCTTCCTGAGCCTCTTTGTGTCTGTCTAATGGGAATGCAACGCTGGCCTCGTTGAGTTGGAGGGTGTACTGAATAAAAGGAGGGGTACACAGAGGGTAGGGTATACAGCTCAGTGGTACAGCGCGTGCTTAGCATGCATGAGGTCCTGGGTTCAATCCCCAGCACCTCTATTAGAGAACGAAACCAATAAACCTAATTCCACCGAAAAATAAGAGAGGGTACACAGCGCTTAACAAGCAGTGGTGGTCGCAGGAAGCCACCTCCAGGTCCCCCAAACTGGGGGCTGCGAAGACGGCCTCTGAGTCCTCACCTGTCCTATGACAATGCACACCAGCCTCACTGGGTTGCAGGAAGCACTAAAATGAAGGGTATACAGTAAGCACTTGATAACTTGGTAGTCGCAGGAGGCCGCCTCAAGGTCCCCAGAAGCAGGGCCTGCAAAGCTTAGGGCCACCATCCGGAGCCCCCTCCCCACCCTCCGCGAGTTTCAGGGTGGGGCGCGCGTGGGAGGTGCAGGTGGCTGGGCCGCGCAGGCTCCGCGCCCCCTGCCGGCGCCTCGCGTCCCACGGTCTGACCGCAACTCCGCACCGCACCTGGTGGTGGGGGGAAGTCGAGGCCCGGGAGAGAGCAAGAGGGAAACTGTTCCGGCGTGCGCTGAGCGCTGCCACCTAGACGCGCTTGCAACGATGGTCGCCTCTTTTATTTCCTCCCTCTGGAGTGGGTGCTGAATGTGTCGAGCGCGCACTGTGGTTCATTTAATCCTCAAGGACCCGGGAAGCAGAAGCAAAAGGGGAAACAGGCTTGGTGAGACCTCCAATGCCCACCCTCGCCAAGCCCCGGGTTAGTTCGTGTTGGAGCCACACGTGTGCGCCAGGCATGGCCGGGACTGCTGCCAGCCTCACCATCTCCCCGGGAAAGCAGCTCACGAGCCAGGCGGGCAGGCCTGCGTGGGACTGTCTCCCACGGTCGATCGGGGGCTCCCGGGTGACTCACAGCTGCGCCCCCTCCCCCGCCAGCCTGGGGTCTGGCCTCGGCCCTTTGGCTTGGTTCCCCCAACTCCCCGGACGGCGGCCCGGCTGACGCATCGCGCCGCCTCCGCGCCGCCCACCTTGGGCGCGCGAAATGTCCCGGGAGCTGCGAGGTGCAGTGGCGCCACCTGGTGGCTGCGAGAGGTCCCTGCGCCCGCGGAGCCGGAAGGGACAGACCAGAGGCGGCGCGGGGGAGGGGGGAGGAGGGGAAGGAGGACCCGGACTGGGGTGACAGTTACAATATTTTACATACACAGTATCTTCTATATGCAACATGCATTCAATAATTTTATAGACGCAGTATTTTAAAATATCAAGCTACTGCACAGGGAGACCTGTTTTTTCATTATGGCAAAATACGCACATTTATCAGTTTGACCATTTGTAAGTGTACCGTTTGGTGGCATTAAATACGTTCGCAATGCTGTATACCAATCACCAATATCTAGATCCCAAACTTTTCTATCATTCCCAACGTAAACTCTTGGGAATTAAACATGAACTGCCCCCAGCCCCTGGCACCCACCATTCTGCTTTCCGTCTCTATGAATTTGACCCTCTAAGAAACTCCTACAAAAGGAATCATACTGATTCACCCTTTAGTGTCTGGCTTATTTTACTGAACATAATGTCCTCAAATTTCACCCATGTTGTTCATCCAGGCGTGTGTGTCATAAATTCCTTCCTTTTAAGGCTGAGTAACATTTCATTGTATGGATGGACCACATTTAGTTTACCCCTTCATCCGTTGATGGACACATGCTTTGTTCACTGTTCACTGGTTCACTGTTGCAGACACTGATTTTTGTCAACAAAATCTTATTGGAACCAAGAGCAGGGTATAAGGTGAGGAGAGTGGGGCACTCACTTCAGGCACAAATTTAAGGAAATGCCGCAAAACTCAGTCATCAAGATAAACAGTATTATAAAACAATATTAAAAAAACAAATTTTATGCAAAAAATCCCACCCATGATGAACAAAAATCAAGATTTTTAAATACAGACAGGATCTGACAGGGTGAGAGGCAGGGGACAGGGAGGTGAGTCTTGCAGGTGCAGGGTCAGACCCTGTCTTGATCTGCAGTTTTGATCTTTTTTTCATCATGTATTTTTTTGCCTTGATTTTGATTTTTTTAATATTGCATTAAAATACTTATCTCAACGGTTGAGTTTGGGGCACCCCCTTATATTTTGCTCCTAAGGCGAGTGCAGCCCTGAGACTGTCCCTGTCTGCTCCAAGGAGAGGTGACCCTGTTGGGGGGGGATATACTGCCCACATCCCACCCCCCCATGGAGGTGTGAATGAGTTGGGAACTTCCCCAGCCAGGAAAATTCACAACCCCCTTGGAAATGAGATCTTTTGTCTCTAGAATTGATCAATGCAAGCCTTTTTCAATTAACTTTGCATCGAATTGAAAATACTAGTAAGAGCAAACTTTCAGTGAGCACGTATTCCATGCTGAGCCTTCTGTAAGCTGTTTCTCCGTAGGTGCCGGTGAAGTTGCCCTCATGTGACTGTTGCACGTTCGCAGAGGATGGAACAGAGACTCAGGGAGACGGTGCCATTAGTCCAAGGGCACAGACTCAGAGTTGTCAAGGCTATTGCAAACTATTCCAAGGTCCAGGGGTTAGGACGGGATGTTTGGAGTCTGGGGGAGGGGGCTGGGGGTGTGCAGGTCTGGGAGGTCAGACTGGAGAGCAAAGAGAGTTTTGAAGGCTGAGTCGGCATTTCTTGGTGGAGACAGGAAGTGGCATCCGCGGCAGGGAGGACGCAGCCTGGACAGAGGCCAGGCCCCTCGGGGAGGGGCTGCTAAGACTGATGCAGAGGGAAGACTGCTCTACCCTGGCTCGCAGTGCCGGAACCGGGGTGCAGAGTAAAGGGAATTGGGGGGCATAGCACTTAAAGGGGCAACAGAAACCTAGTCATCAAGATTATCTTTTCTTCTTGTTTTTTTAAAAATCAAGATAGAATTCACATATCAGAAAATCCACACTTTTCGAGTGCTCAGTTCAGAGGGTTTCTCTAGAGTCACAAGTTTGTGCAGCCGTTGCCACTAATCCCAAGTGAGATGAATATTTGTAATGTGATCGTTTCAATGAAAATGCTCACCAAGACATCAGCTGTGAACGGAAGACTGTCACTTCCCATCAAGACAAGGTCAGTGGCCCACTGTCCCAGCCACATCGGTGCCCCAGCTGACAGGACTTCTCAGTGTGTGACTGATCCTCTGTTGATTTCCATTTTTTAGATTGTTATTTTATTTTATTTTGTCAGTGGAGGTGCTGGGGATTGAACCCAGGACCTCGTGCATGCTCTCACCTGCGCTCTACCACTGAGCTGTACCCATCCCTTTGATTTGAAATTTGGAAAACATATCTAGCATGGGTTGTTGTTTTTTTTGCATTTAAAAAATATTTTTCATTGTGACTGAGTTTTTGCCTCGTCCGAGTCCTGCTGCTGCTTCTCAGGACCCTGCCTTTAACTCCTGCCCAAGCAAACCTAGGAGGCAAGGGTGAGGTTCCCAGTGGACAGAGGGGAAACCAAGCCCCCAGGTGGCTGAGGCCTTGGTCCGCCTGGGAGGTGTGGCCCAGGGTTCCCTCCCAGCATGGCAGCTGGAATAGTGCAGGATCAGGAGTCCCAGGGCTGGAGGGGACACTTGAGAGGTGAGTGTGGAGCCAGAGTTCTCCTTTCATTATAGGACGTTTTATGGTCCAAATGTTTGTGTTCCCCAAACCCATCTGCTGAAGCCCTAACCCTCCCCCCCCCAAGCCCAGGGGACAGTGGGAGTTGGGCCCTGGGGAGGGATGAGGATAAGGTGAGGTCATGAGAATGGGGCCCCCACGGGAGGTAAATGTCCCTGTAAGGAGAGGAAGGGACCAGAGCCCTCTCCCCGCTGGGTGAGGACACAGGAGGCGGTGGCCGTCTGAAGGCCGGGGGGTGGGCCCCCACCAGGGACCGACCACAGGGGCACCTGGCCTCCAGCGTCCAGCCTGGCCTCCACCTCCTGGCCTCCAGCCTCCAGCACAGTGAGGAGTGTGGTCTGTGGTTTAAGCCTCCAGCCTGTGACGCTCCATTATGGCAGCCCGAGCTCACTACGACAGGAAGGGGTGAGGGGCTGGGGTAGGGATAACCAAGGAGCCTTCCGTCTGCCTGGGTTTGGGTTCTAGCTTCCCTCCTGACCAGCTGCGTGAACTCAGGCATGGCCACCCCACCCCCACGTCTCGGCTTCCCCCTCTGCAGAATGGAAGTGAGAGCCTTGCCCAGGACTGTTCTGCTCGCGAAGTGCATTCATTCTGGGCCACACTTAGGAGAGGGCTCTGTGCATAGTAAGTCCCCTCTAAGGGGGGGGTGTCTTATCACATGATCAGGCAGTGACTGAAGGCCTGCTGGGTGCTGATTTGGTGCTGGGGGGGCGGGAGGGGGCTCTGGTAACATAACTACTCCAGGTGGAGCGGTCAGGGTGGGCTTCTCTGAGGAGGTGACATTTGAGCTGAGACCTGAGTGACGTGAAGAAGCCAGCCTTGGGAAGCTGGGAAGGGAGAGGGCTTCAGGCGTAGCAGGTGCAAAGGCCCTGAGGTGGGGCCGCACTTGGGACACACAAGGAGCCCTGTGGAGTTCCAGGTGGCTGGAGCAGAGTCAGGTTGGGTAGTGGGGAGGAAATCAGAAAGGTGTGCCTTGGAGGCTGTGGGAGGAGCTTAGATTTGACTAGAGTTGCACCAGAAAGTCATTGGAAAGATCGAGGCAGGGTCGGGTGGGGGCGCCTGGTCTCTGACATCGTGTTTTTGTTTTTGTTTTTGTTTTAAAGATGAACAAGACATGATTCCTGTCCCCAAGGAGAAGCTTCCAGGTGGAGGTGAGTCATCAGCTGAACTTTGAGACTGTTGGGAAGACAGGATGGGTGGGTGGAGGTGGGGGCGACACACCAGGTGGTAGAGGTGTCAAGGGCAAAGGTGAGGAGGCAGGGACACCAGGGCACGTCTGGGGACACTGAGGAGGACAGTGAGGCAGGAGCGGGCCAGGACATCTGCGCCTGTGACGTACCCGGGAGGCGCTTGGGGGGGTGGAGGGGGGCCTCTGCTCCGTGGTCAGGCTCGCTGGGCTTGGCCCCACCTCCATCCTTCAAAAGCTGTGTGTCCTTGGGTTGGTGATTTAGCATCTCTGAAATTCCCTCTTTCCCTGGGAAAATCAGATTGTCGGAAAGATTGCAAAAAAACGCCACCTAGACTGGGCTGGACATCAAAACTGCTCCGGACATCTTCCAGTCTGGTGTTACCTTGAAAGCCACTTGAACCCACCCTCTCCCTCCGCACCCGTGTCCCTGGCTCTCCCTGCAGAGCCCAGAGGGCCCCCTCCAAAACCACGTCTCACCACATCCCTCTAAACACAAACCCCAGCGGAAACCCCTTCCCGCCGTTCTCCAAGTGTGCCTGGTGGGGTCCTGCGCCCTGGCCCCCTGGCCGGGTTCCTCTCCTGGAGTGCCATCCCCAGCCCCAGCCGCCTCGCCTGTCCCCCTCTCACTGGGCGTCCCCTGGCCACCTGCGAGACGTTTCACACGCATCTCGACCTCCCCATTTCCTTGTCACTCAACACCCTCCAATGTACTATGTATTTTCTTATCATCGGAATCATCATCTGTGCCCCTCAGTCGAAAGTCAGCTCCAGCAGGCTGGAGTTTCCATCTGTTTTGCTCCAAGTGGTGTCCCCAGGATGCAGGAGGTGCCGAATAAACACGTTCTGGTTGAAAGACTAAATGTGCCCCTGACAATGCTCTGAGGGGCTCAGCATTATGGTAAATGACTTTTTTTAAAGGAAGAAGTATGATTCTCATGTGAATATCTAATGAACATGTGTCAAGGATTGCATGTAACTCGTTAACTAACGGAAGGACCGGTGAGACGTCTTCTAGACAATCGGGAGGTGGAAATGAACGTGCTTAGGAGGTGCAAAATGTTCTTTTTTATTTTGGGGAGGGGAAGGTAATTAGGTTTATTTATTTACATATTTAATGGAGGTCCTGGGGATTGAACCCAGGACCTCGTGCATGCCAAACACGTGCTCTACCGCTGAGCTGGACCGACAGCAAAATGACACAGGCCAATCATCACTCTTCCATCGGACAATTTACATTTCTGTGGATGCACGGAGATTAGCCCAGTGTGTGCAGAGGACGCGGTTCCAATAGGGCAGCTCTCACTTCAGACACCCGTGGTGAGATGGTGTCCCGGGGCCACCTCCACTTAGACCAGCTGGGTTCAGATTCGGGGTCCCCATGGCCACTCTTGGGCTCCAGAATTCACCAAAATGACTCAGAACTAGCAAAGTGCTCAATTTATGATTACATTGTATTAGACTTTTCAAAATAGCACCAACTGGATGGCTTAAAACAACCTGGGTTCAATCCCTAGTACCTCCATTAAAAAAAAAAAAACCTAATTACCTCCCCCCGACGAAATAAAAAATAATAACATATATGGCTTGCATTCTGTTTTTTTCTTTTGAGGATATTCCTTTTTAAAATTGAGATATAATTGTCATATACCATTGTGTAAATCTAAGGTGTTGATTTGATACAATTATATGTTGCAGTAGGATCTCGACCATAGTGAATGGTTTACACCTCTATCAGGTCACATAAGTATCATTTCTTTTTTGTGGTGGGATATTTTGTTTCTGTTGGGACCATGTGGTTCTACACAGCAGCCTGCGGGAGGCTATCTTTTTCGTTTTTGAAACATGAAATATATCAAACAAAAAGCATCAATAACTTACATGTCCATCTTGAAGAATAGAGACATTCACAACCACCTGGCTTCCAAAACACAGCCACTTACATTGACTTCTGGGTTAACCACATCTCCATTTTTCTTTTCAATTGTCTCACATTTGTAGCACCCCAAAGTAACATATCAACTAGTTCACCTGGGGTTTGAATTCTATTTTTAAAAAAGCATATTGTAAATATTCTCCTGGACTTCACTTTCTTTGCCTGATCTTATGGTTGGGAGGTCATTCTGTAGGTGGTGCCCTCAAGTGTGTTCGTTTTCAGTGCTGTATAATATTCCACTGCATCAGTCTACACAAAGCTATTGGTCTATTCTTATCAATGGATATTTGGGCTGTTTTCAGTTTTTGTTTTCCTATTACAACAAAGAGTGAGGATTTCAAAGCTCAAATCAAATCCTCTCCTATGTGACAAGGAAATGAGACAGCCCCTAGACAACAGCCAGCAAGGATGTGAGTCCTTCCAATATCAGTACAAATGCACTTGGAAGTGAATCCTGCCCCAGCAGCTTTAAACCTCTATGTTTTGTTATGCAGTACTAGATAACTAATACACAGATGTTAGGTTACTTGTGTTTCCTTCCCTAACACCTGTCTCCACCACTGGAAGTTCTCATTCATTGCCATGTCCACCATCCTAAAATGTGCACTTTGCACTGGCTGGTCCCTCTCCCTGGAAGGCTTCTCCCCACATGCTCACCTGGTTGACCCCCTCCTTCTCAAATGCCACCTGCTCCAAGAGGGCCACTCTGTTTAAAAATGCAACTCCCTACCTCCCGTGCTCCCAAGCCCCTTGTCCCACTTTGTTTCCCGCACTTAGCATCCACTAACATGCCCTTTGTTAGCTGCCTGTTCCCTGTCTCCCAACTTCATCCTTGTCAGCTTCCTAAGAGCAGGGATCTTTGTTTTCGTCACTGATGCAGCCCCCATGCTTGGCACACGAACATGTTCAGTCGATATTTATTGATTCCATTAGTCCCTGCACCCATGTAACAAACAGCTGCCCCTCCAGCCCCAGGCTCTACCTGACCCCAGATTTCATTTGGGATTTCACGGGTCCAGCCCCAGGTTCCCGAGTTCTGATTCTAGATTCCAGGGTTAGCCTCCAGGCTCTGGAATCTGCTTTCCAGACTCCACTCCCCTCCCAGCTCTAGAATCAGAGCCCTGGAGATCCAGTTTCCAAAATCCCAGCCTCTCAAGGCTCCCGAATCAGGGTCCCCTAGATTCAGGCTCTGGAATGTGTGCCCCCCACCCAGATCCGGAATCCATAGCCCCCTAGACCCAGGATCTGGAATGAGTCCCCCTCCCCCAGCCTAGGTTCACGAATCCGTGGCTCCGCAGATCCAGACTCCGGAATCCGCCATCCCCTTAATCCAGGCTCCAGAAATTCACAATCAAGGCTCGCGATCCGGGCTAGGAGCCAGCGGCAGCCGTTCGGCTGAGATTTTTAAAAATCTGGCGCCAAATTCCCGCGCGGAGCTGGGGCGGCAGCACAAATTGTTGTGGGGGGAGATGGGGAACGGGGAGGGATGGATGGGGGCAGGGCCAGTCCGACCTTCCCTGGCCCGGGGGTTTCTCGCCCACCGCCTGCGCCCTCTACCCCGCAAAGCGGGCAGCAATTGGCCATTAACTTTCTAGCGCCCTTGGGTCAGAGCGTCGCGAGCGCGTTCGAATCCCGCCTCCGCCCCGCCCTTTCTGGGGGTCCGGGGACAGGTCCCCTGGTCGTCCCGTGCCTCAGTTTCCCATTCTGGAAATGGGCCACAGCCCCTGCCGCGTGTGGCGCCGGGAGAGCCCGCAGAGTGGACAGGCCAGCTCCGCCGGGTGCCCAGGCCTC